CCTTAGTGGTCGGCCCGTTCACCGTGAACGGCCGTTCACAAAAACAACAACAAATGAACGGCCGGTCACATTCACGGGTCCGGCACTGACCCCAATCCACTTTAGAAAACCGCCCCCACTGGCCGCCACGCAGCCTCAAAGTCGCTTGGCCGCGCGAACATGGCCGCCCACGGCCGCCTTCGTGGGGGATTCATAGCCGCCGGCTGTGTTGCCGCGCGTTCATTGAACGCGCGTTTCTCGTTCAGTTTTTGAACGCGGTGATCGCACGTAAACACGTTTGACGCATTTGCGCAGGGTGTTTTTGGTGCGCGCGCGCGCGCGTGTTTGTGTGTGTGTGTGTGTGTGTGTGTGTGTGTGTGTGTTGGGTGACGAGGTATCGGTTTCACAACCATGGGGATACACTCGGGTATATGCACGGTTTCACAGTCCTCGGTGGTAGAGTGCATGGTTAGTCGGATCGCCCTCTCTCTCTCTCTCTCTCTCTCTCTCTCTCTCTCTCTCTCTCTCGCGCGCGCATAAGCGCGTATGCTTCGTGCTTGCTTGCTTGCTCATAGCGCAACAGCTTCTTCCCGCCACGCAGCCCCTTTTCCCGTGCGTGGCTCATTTTCCCGCGCGTAGGTAAGAGAGGTTGGCGCAGCTCCTCTCGTTCGTGCTCATCTCCGTCGCTGGCTACGTTTATTTGGATCGCCCTCTCTCTCTCTCTCTCTCTCTCTCTCTCTCTCTCTTGTGTTTAGGTCAACGCCCCCTAACTCGTGCACAACTTTTCTCCATCCAGGCACAACAACTCTCCCGATGTAGGTGCGAGCTTCACTGCCAGCGCAGCTTCCCAATTGTGCACACCTCGTTTCCATCGCACAGCTCCCTCCTTCGGATGTGGTTTGTAATGTGGGGAGAGAGAGAGAGAGAGAGAGAGAGAGAGAAAAGTGTATGCAGCACACTCAATCAATCAATCAATCAATAATGAATCAATCACTAATCAATCAATCAGTCAATCAATAAATGAATCAATCCATTAATCAATCCACGTATACACACACACACACATACGTTGTGTTCCCCCCCCCCCCCCCCCCCCCTAGAACTGCTTGCTCCCTCTGTGGCTTCTGACACGCGCAACCCGGAGGGCGGCGCGCGTTCAATTTTCTCCCACCGTGTGCCACATGGCGGTATTGAACGCGTTTGAACGAGCTATGAACGCGCGCGTTTGAACGTGAACACGCGTCAAACGCGTCCAAGCGGTTACATAGGCCGCCGGGGCTCGACAACCCTGCTTGCAGGGACTCTTTCAGGCCGATGGAGACATGACAGTTAGTCGGCGTTTCTGTGTCGTTCGTGCTGTTGGTGGTGAATGTCAAATTCCATGCTCCGCAATGTGGTAGCCCATCGTTTCATCATGCCCGAGTTATCCTTCTTCTTCTCCAAGGCCAGGAGTGGCTCGTGATTGGTAACCAACATGAACTTTCGGTTGTTTATGCTAAAAAATGATTGATTCCCCCCATAGCAGCAACTCGAAAGCATTTCCCCGCTAGCGCAGAGTCGTTCCTTTTGCAGGGAGGTACAGTCTTGGAAGCATATTCTACCACGTGTTCCGGTCCATCTAGTCCGACCTAGGCCAAGATCGTCGAGATCGCCTCAACTTGCCAATCGATGATGAGAATGAAAAGTTTTTATGGGTCCAAATTAGAGGCCCCTGAAGTTCTCGAAATGCTTGATCACACCGAGGAGTCTAGATCAGCGACTGATTTTTTTTCATCAGATTCGTGAGGGGTCTCGCAATTGCCGCAAATCCTTTGATAAACTTCTATGATAATACGAGGTCAGTCCCAAAAACGTGTGAACCTGCATAAGCGATGTGGGTACCCTCAACGTAGAATCCCCTCACTGATTACACTGTAAGTGATAATCCACCTTAACCAAAATCAAAGTAGACTATCACTCACCCACACCAGATGGAAAACTCTACAGATATGATATATATAGATATATATCGTCACATAGATATGAGAGCGCAAAAGCAAAAAAAAGGAAAAAGAAAGGGAAACAGGAAAAAATGAATTATGATTTATATATTTTATATATGCACGTAACACATCTATATAGTCGGGCAGTCGTTGATGCGTAACCACAGCCGGGGTCAAGGTGGTTTATCACTTAACAGTAATCAGTTAAGGGATTCTGCAGACTGTTGAGGGTTCAGCCTCCTGATGAGTCAGTACGTGAAACTCCGACGAAACAGTTCCGTCACAGGCCCTCGTTTGTTGTCCTCTCCTCCCTCTCTGCTTACGGTTCACCAGGCAGCTCTGTTTGACGATATATATACATAGATAATACATATGTTCGGTATAAAATATAAATGTACATTATGTATATAATCGAGCAGAACTGCCCGGTAAATCGTACGCAAAGAGGGAGAACACGACAAGAAACGTGAGGCTGTAACAGACTTCGCCGAAGTTTCACCGCCTCTACACAAGGCTAATGTAGTACTGTGTACGTATATATCTCAAACAGAACTGCCGGGTAAACCGTATATCCACTAAAGCAGACTAGAGCTATTAATCAACACAGCCTTTCACAGAGACAACAACGGCCATCTGAACCGTTCACACTCATGCTAAATAAGAGTTACCGAAGCACGACTGAGGTCATGCACACATTCACGCAATCATTCAATGACATATCTCCTCGCCCTCAAGATCACGCAAGAGAGACCAAAACGTTATCCCGGAACGAGCTCACGTCTCTTCTTTCCCGAAACGAACTCACGTTGCACACACTCACTCAATCATTCAATGACACGTCTCTTCGCCCTGAAGATCCGCAAGAGAGGCCAAAACGTTATCCCGGAACGAGCTGACGTCTCTTCTTTCCCGAAACGAACTCACGTCGTAAAAAGGCTCTATCAGAGGTTCTCTATCTCACAAGCCCGCGGTTATGATACATACTACCTCCCCAAACCCAACTCCGCGAGCCCATCATACCTGGAGGTGGAGCCTAACTCCCATACAAATCCTTATCCGTTGTGCCTCATCCTACTCGCGAAAATACCCCGTCCTTACTACAAGTTTTTTTTTTTTTTTTTTTTTTTTTTTTTTTTAACGGCGACGGCCTTGAGATATCATCATTAAGCTGACGAGCCCGATGCAATTCAGAAATAGTTGATTTTTACAAGTGTACTCATCAAGTTCCATCATCTGGATTCGAACACGGGTCTATATTTTCAACAGTTCATGAGTGCACCGACTGACTGAGCTAGGCTCTTGAGTTCATAACAATTTCTGGGTAGTAAGCAGTTTTACCACCGTCCAACTCCTTGTCCATCCGTCCGTCCATCACGAAAATACCTTTCTACGCCAGACAGCAATCTCAGATGAATACTAAACATTTCCTTGATACCAATCAATGGAACGGAATCATTCTTTACCTACTTTACATTTTCTTGATACCAATCAATGCAATCATTCTTACCTAATATGCTTCCAAAAGTATACGTCGTTCCTTGAACCACTCACGTACAAATTCATCAAGCCAATGGAAGAACGGCCAGGAATGAACACATCACACTTGAGATTTATATGTGTTGGTAAACTCGTGCAGCTGCCATATGACAGCGACAACGATGTCACTTCAAGGCAACTGTACTACAAGTCATATAGATGTTCCATCCGCGAGCATCCGCATCCTCAAGGACATCTTTCCAAAAGGCGAAGTACCACCACTATATCTAGCAAACAAACCTCACCTTGCACTCAACTTCAGCAACAGTCAAGTTCCAGCGAGTCACCGTCAACATCCAGGGAGTCAACGTCAGTTTCCAGGGAGTCCCAACGTCAACATCCGCGGAGTCAAACCATTACGATAGTACCGGATCCGGCCATCCTGGTAGTAACGGATCCGACCGTCCTGATTCCTTCGCATGGAAATTCAGAAAACGAAACCCTCAACGACAACTCCGTTGCTGGCGAGCATCTCCCAGGGTCCGAATGGCCGGCAGACCGTCAACCGATATATCTCCGATGTTGACGCGTCACGCGTGTCCTTCTCCCGCACGTGCGCACCGTGTTTAGCATGGACTTACGAACATATCAGCGCCGAAGTTATATACATGCAAGCCTGTGCCATTTTCCCGCAGCAGCTCGTGATCTTTCCCCTTGCCAGTTGACAGTTTAAAAGAAAGACAGTCTCACAAACCCCTCTTTCTCGCAAAAGAGACCAGGTGATGATCCTCGGATATCACGACGAAATGGCTGGTCGCTCTCGTTCATACGAGCGGAATACACAGACGCTACCAGATTGTACTGAACACAAAGACGTCGTCGTTCCTTTGCAAAAGAGACCACGGGTGATGATCCTGTGATATCATAACGAAGTGGCTGATCTCCCTCGCTCACATGAGCGGACTACACACATGCTACCAGACCTTAGGTTTGTCGCATGCATCATTAACTACAACGCAGCTGGTCGTCATCGCTCATTACAAAACAGTCAGATGCCCGTCGTTCACATGAGTGGAACACACGCTACCAGGTTGGTTGTCGTCAACACAAACACACCCTATCCTAGCTTCGTCATTGCATCGCTCATTACAACACACAGCAAGAGAGAATGCTTCCAAGTCCACCACCTACCCGCGATCGAGACCAGGGGACGATCTTGTCTCCACTGTACTCTCACCCTAGCGGTCATCCTGATTCACGTCGCTACCACGTACCAATCTCTTGCAGAATCCTTTCCCTAAATATTCGGTAATCTCTTGCAGAATCCTTTCCCTAAATGTTCGGTTGGCCCTGGCGGTTTTCCACTTCCTCCTTGACATCTGTTTTCATCTTCATGCCCTCATCTTCCTTCAATGCCTCTCCAGAGGCCTCGCTGACATCCATATCTTTTTCTTCGACTGATATTTGTACTTCTTCGGGACCTTGACCTTCATCTGGCACTTGGACTGGTACTTCAACTACGATGGGACCTTGAGCTTCATCTGTCCCGCCCTTCTGCTCCGCTCCTTCTTCCATCTGTGTGTCTTCCGTCCTTAACCCCTCAGCGAGCTTTCGTTCCTCATCTCCTACCAGATCTTCTTCCACCGGTATTGTCGAAATCGTCGCCTGCACCGTCGTGACCAGGGGAACGCCCAGGTCGGCCGCCTGACCTCCGCCCAGGTTACCCCCACCACTGAGGTCGGTGGTCGTTGTAGTCACTTCAACGATATCCACTGTTCCAGGAACAGGGCCCTCCACGACGTAGCTGGTATAAACCTGCTGCGACTCCGGTGCTGAAACAACATCGCCTGCACCTGCCAGACCTTGGTCCACAACAGCTTGGTCTGGTCCAACTACAGTTCCAAGAAGGGGATCTATTCCAAATCCCCCAGCCACTGGAAACGGCGATACGCCAAAACTGCCCTCAGGCATGACCGCACCTCCCACGCTGCCGGCCCCAGCCACACCAGCATCTCCTCGAGCGGCATCGCCAGCTCCAGCTCCTTCTCCGCTTCTGTCGTCGCTTCCCGCCATCGCGCAATACAGCCAACTCCCGAATCACTGTTGGAGTTTAAAAAAAGACAAAAACACGAAACACGGAAGCTACTCTCAATCAACTGCACTCGACCACCCCTCGAGGCTGTTGTACAATAAGTGTCAATCACAGCACCGTTGAATCAACTGCACTCGCCCACCCCTGAAGGGTATTGTACAATCAGTGTCAATCACAGCACCAATGGCACAGCACGTGTGTACTGCTGAACTTGGTTCCAACTTGGATGCGGAACTCCCCACACGACTGAAAACAGCGGTCTCTTCGTCCATCGACGTTCGAAATGCTAACCGCTCGCTTATCGCCTGCACCAGATCAAAACCAAACCACAGCAGCATCACCCTCTCTATAACGTCCCAAACACAAAGTTCACATCTTCAAAAGACAAAAATGATTCAAAACACTCGAGCAACCAACGAGCCTGAATGAACTGCTGAAATACAGACCCCAGTTCGACTCCAGGTGCAATCAGATGAACAGAATCTAGTAGCGCTTCTTTTTTTTCTTTTTTTCTTTTCAAATGCAAACTTCTTCAAAAGACTTCAATGATTCAAAACACTCGAACAACCAACGAGCCTGAATGAACTGGTAAAATACAGACCCCAGTTCGAATCCAGATGCAATCAGATGAACAGAATCGAGTAGCACTTCTTTTTTTTTTCTTTTTTTTTCTTTGCAAATGCAAAAGACCACTTATATTGCAAGAGTAAAACAGAGTCAAAAAAAAAAAAAAAAAAAAAGTAAAACAGAGGCCGGGTCCTTCGGGACATCCGTTAAAACTGGAACGATACAGAGAAGATTAGCGTGGCCCCTGCGCAAGGAGCCACGCATGAATCGAGAAATGGTCCAAATTCAAAAAAGAAAAACACACAAAAAGGCCGGGAGAACCTCTACAAACAACCCGAGGAAAAAAGGACGGACCATTAACGACCTTAAGGAAAGACGTCCAAAGCAGAAAAGGTAAAATGACTCGAATCCAAACCGCTGCTCCGACTGATCAGCAACCCTGCGGGTGGAAAAGGAAGCCACACGGCCTGTGAAGCCCAACAACCGAAAAACAGAACCCAGGATTTTCTCCTAATTCTGAATTACCTGGGGCCGGTCGGCTAGAAGACAGAATCCCCCCCAAAAACAAAACAAAAAAAAACGAATAAAACAAAAAAGCACTCGATCAGCAGTTAAACACACCAAAGAGGCAGGGAAAACCTCTACAAACAACCCGAGGAAAAAAGGACTGACACCATTAACGAGCTTAGGAAAGACATCCAGAAAAGGTAAAATGACTGAAATCCAAACCGCTGCTCCGACTGATCAGCAACCCTGGGGGGGAGAAAAGGAAGCTACTCGGCCTATGAAGCCCAACAACCGAAAAAACAGAACCCAGGAATTTCTCCTAGTAATTCTGAATTACCCGGGGCCTGTCGGCTAGAAGACAGAATCCCAACAAGAAAAAAAAAAAAAACGAATAAAACAAAAGCACTCGATCAGCAGTTAAACACACCCACCACTCCATTCACTCAATCCAAACGGATGTCCACATTTGGAAAATCCCTGAATTCGTCAAACAAATACAAAATAACATATTAGCTTTACGGAACCCAAAGCACTGCATTCTGACCATTGAAAGAGTCAAACGCACCGCATTCAAATCCATCCCTAACCAAATCGACCAATAAATTAATGAGACGAATTAAGAACAGTTACATCAGAAAGTACCTTAATCTGATCACAATGACCATGTCATTCATTCTCTCTCTGAATATGCGGCTTATCACATCCATCACGTGAGAGTACGAGCCACACACACGCCACTCACACACACCAACCACAAAGAAACACACACATTCCTCTGTAAACGTGGGATTTCACATCCCTCGTGAGAGATGTACGACCCACCCACCCACAGCCACAAGCACCACACATTTCCCCCACCCACCAGCCCCACACACACACAGACACACACACACACACACACACACACACACACACACACACACTCACACACACAAAGCGCACGCGCGTTCGCACCCACACATCCAAAGCAGCTCTCCCAAAGAATATAATTCGAAAATTCCACCTGTCGCCCGCGCGCTCGTCCGCATGTACGGACGCAGGCATGCATACATGCCACCAATAGATCATGGATGATTCGCATGCTACACGCGGCCACAGTCAATCTAAAGAGCGCACAAAGTCAAATCAGGTGGCCCACCATCACACGACCGCCATCGCGCTCACAGCTCTCAATGCTAGAATCCCACTATCCTCTTCGTGACAGCCTCTATAAAATCCAGCAGAGTAGTTCAATACCACATGCAATGGACCAACGCGGGAGAAAACAAAACCTGCCAAAACTACCACTCTGAGCTCCCGAAAGACCGATTCATCGTCTCAATCTGATCATTCCAATCGCGCAAAACTATCGCGTTCCCGCAAATGACCGCACGCCCATCAAAGACAGAAACACGTGGACTTCTCTCACTGACACCATAACGACTCATAAATCATCGTACGTCGATGGAACCACATTAGATTAATAAAAATTCAATCAATGACCGAATCAGCTTGATGAAAGTACTTAACATTCTTAGGATTACCGTCTTATGTTCTTCGTCTGGAATTCCGTGTCCCAAGCCCCATCACGTAAGATTAATAAAAATCCAATCAATGACCCAATCAGCTTGATGAAATTACTTAACATTATTACTAATTTATTAGGATTACCGCCTTATGTTCTTCGTCTGGAGTTCCGTGTCCCTTACCTTAAACGCTATCTAGTATCTACTGAGTGTCACACTCTCTCCCAACCTTTTCGTAAATCTCCGTTGTCTGCCCCAACGTCACACTGCCGCAATCGATACACAAGAAAGCGCATCAGGCCCCAACGTCACACTGACGCAATCGATAGACAAAAAAACGCATCGGGCTCACTATATAGATCGATCAACCACTCACTCGCAGTGAGGAAAAAGATAGAGGAAGGAAAGGGGGAAAAAAAAAAAAAAAAACCCAGAACCGAAGAAAGCAGAAGAACCCACGACGGAATTGAAAGGAAAGCAAACAGAGACCACGTGACAGAGGGCCTCGATGCACTACTCTCCACATGCACAAAACACAAAAACGATGACAATGAATCTTCACGTATTCTAGCGGAAGATTCAGTCTCATTTTGCACACTCCGAGAGTAGTGCAGCGAGGCCCAGAGTTGCCGTTTTGGGAAACAGGTCCAGCATCCTTCTTTTTTTTTCTCGAGAGAATGCACCGACGCTTCCTTCTTTTTTTTTTCTCGAGAACGTTCCATTTTTTGTTGGGGACAGCACCTGCTGGGAAACAGGTCCAGCATCGCTTCTAACTGCAAAAGAACGGCAGGGGTCCTGCTGGCTGAGGTGGTGGTAAGAGCATTTTTTTTTGACGGGGAAACTACGCGGCGCCGGCGGCGGTCACAACCAAAACAGTTTGAAGTTAAAACTGCATTCCAAACACCATTTCTGCACTCCCGTCAGGGCCCGAGTTTGAAACGCTGTTCAAACTCGGACTTCGCAGAAAGGTCCCACCGCAGAGTATCACACTGAGATTCACTGAATCAATTCACCCCGCCACTTTTGACAGGTTTGGGCCCACGCACCAGTGCTTCACCAACAGGCACTTGGACCAGTAGACCGGTACTGGGCTTACTACCGTTCCAGCCACAAGCGAACGAACATTACCATCCCACCTACGGGAGAAGGGGCAACTCTCTCTCTCTCTCTCTCTCTCTCTCTCTCTCTCTCTCTCTCTCTCTCTCTCTCTCACACACACACACACACACACACATAAAATAGCGCGAATGTATCTGGTCCATTTACTCCATCTGATACATTTCACTCCCAAGGAGATGGACCCCCAGAGGAACCAAGAGTTAAATGGCTGCCTCTTGAAGCTCCCATTAGAGTGCTAGGAGTTCTCCTCACAGCAAAAGAACTAGTGCAAAAACCCTCCGAACTCAAACATAAAAAAATATTGAAAAAACAGAAGTCTCAGAAAAATCTGAAAAACATATATGCCATGTAAAGCAGCAATACAAGCAACGTTTGCCTTGGAGTCATGTTCAAATTCTTAGTCAAGCGTGAGTTAAGAATCAAAAAACGATTTGTTCGCGAGCTGTTTATGCGAACACGTTCGCGCGAACGTGGAGGGGCGTGAACACGTTCATTGTGCCACGCAGCTAATGATGTATGGATCATCACTCCAGCACTAAATATATTGGAACAAAGGAAGAATAAGCACACATCGTTGTTTTGGCGGGCAATTATAATTAACAACTAAGTTGTAGCCTCAATTTGATATAAATCTGTGATTTGGTAGTTGAACAAAGCCGCTGCCAAAGAATTTAAGAGAACTTATAGCTTTTCTTTGGCGAGGTGATCACGAGTCTCCCCAAGTAATCCCGAGAGTAGAACGACTTTCCTTGATTCAACCTAAGGAAAAGGGAGGATTAGGGATTTTGGATCCGTCCTTACAATGTCAAGCTTTGGTTCTCCAATGGATAAAGTGTTTGATTTTCACGTGTGAACTCCTGTGGAGAGCACTTGCACTAGAACAAATTCATAGAGTAGCTCCGATCTCTGAAGTGTATATCCATCCCCTTACTTGGGTGAAGGGTAGGTACTGGAGGGTTCCTCGTGCTCAGGAAGGGGAGAGGATGAATAACTATTCGACTACACTTTTGAAAACATGGCGTAAGCTGCCTCTTCCCTGTATGTCTTCCCCCTCTACATATGAGAAAATCCGAAGACAACCTATTTTTGGCGATAGAATGAATTATTGACTCTGATGGTAGGTTCTTTATCAGTTCTGATTCGCCCTCGTCTACATGGGTGAAATATGGGATAGTAAGAGTTAAGGATTTACGAAACTCAAAAGCTAAATCATGAAAATCTTCAGGGCAATTTAGGAAGGAAATTAAATATGCACATTAATTGTAGTTTGTAGGACAACTTGGATCTTATCATTTCGTCCCTTCCCTTGACATGCAATGGTTGGTTTTATGTGGCCGTTGTCCGGATGGCTTCCGGGCGATCGGACAAATTTTGGATACTCGTCTTCACAGAGCGTTGGTTAATACCATACATCTCCGTCGGGACCATACAATACTTCAAACACAACAAGATAGTGTTTCCTTTTTCTCTCTCACTCCCTCTACAAGGTTAGGGTGATGCTTTGTTCTGCAACAAAAGGTTGGAGGGTGTTTGAGCCTAATACCCTCATCCTATAACTTCCTATTGATCCTACATAATGGGTGTGGAGGGCTTCCAAAAGAAGTAAACCATTGAGGTTGCAAAATTTGATGGTTAAGGCATCCTATAGGTTATTGAGACCTAGAGTGGATGTAATGGCTCTTATCCAGGAACAATGGGCACACCACCTAAATGTCCATATGAAACTATTCCGGCCCACTAGATGGTGCAGAAGGTATAACGAGAGGCCAACAAACTTTGCAGCGTTGCCCCCCTTGCAATGACATATATCTTACCGCTGTTTATCTCATCTTTGGAGCAGGAGGGATTCAATTTGGCTCTACTGTAGTGTCAAATATGTTTTGATGGGTTTTCCAGTAGGAATTGCAGAGACACAATTGAACACATTGTTCTTCAATCCCAGGGTCCAAGTTATGGTGGAGACGTTGGGACTATATTTGGAATACATTGATAGGGGAAGATTGGTCTTCGGATTGGAGGCCCGTGCTGTTAGGCTATAAAGGAACCATCAAATTTTCAACTTAACTTATTTAATCTAAAAAGGAAAGCGATATTATTGACTATTTCGTCTAAACGATGTGTATAAGTTCGGGATTACCTGACAACTTGGTCGCGCCCCGGCCAGGCATAGCGATGCGGTGGAGATTGGGGCGAGCACGCCACCTGCACAGGTCGGCCCTCAGCCTCCCCGCCAAAAAAAAAGAATAAAGTGAAATGGGGAGGGAGTGGGGGTAAAACAACCATTTCGTTAAAACCTGCGTAGCACGGCGAACGTGTTCGCACCCCTTCATGTTCGCGCGAACAGCTCGTGAACATGTTCGAGCGAACATAATTTTTTTCGTAAAAAAAAAATATAACAAATTTCGGTTTTTTATTTTTAACTCACGATTGGTTACGAATTTGAATATGACTCCAAGGCAAAAGTTGCTTATTTTGTTATTTTACATAACATATATTTTTTTCAGTGTTTTCTGAGAACGTTTTTTTTTTTTTTTTTTTTTTTTTTTTTTTTT